TCCACATAGCCTGCACATCTTTGGACTGTGGGAGGAAACCAGAGCACCTGGAAGAAACCCACACAGACGCAGGGAGAATGTGCAAATTCCACACAGACAGTCACCTGAGGCTGGAATCAAACCCAGGTCCCTGGCACTGTGAGGTAGGAGTGCTAACCACTGAGCCACCGTGCCACCCCAATTGCTAATCTCTTGAAATGTTAAGGGTGGTGCTGGATTGTGAACAGGACAACAGAGGAATTGATTAGCCTGGGGAATCAGGGCTGATATGTGCATGACTTGGCAGCAGAATAGGGAAGATGAGTGGATGGGGATGAGGAGAGAGAGGAGGAGGATTCAGATGGTACTGAATGCAATGGACTCAGTTACAACCAGTTACATGTTACAGAGAACTAACTTAGCTGGGGGCAGGGTGATAGTGTGGGGGTGTGGTGCTTGTCTGTTCCGGTCTGCTCTCCCCACCCCTCAACCTCCATCCACTCCCACCCTATTATGGATGATCATGTTCTGCAAGAGAGAGGGCAGAACGTTAATAATTGTGTCTTATTGAGTTTGCATGATGCACCTGCCATAACTGAATCATTGCAAGTGTGTTGAAGCAGTAAGAGATGAGTTTAAAGCTGGAGCATTGGAATGAAGTTATGTGTGGGTAAAGTGGAATATCTGAATGATAGGCTTGAGAGGGGACTAATTGCTTAGATGGGTGAGTGATGGTGCTTTGAGCAGCATGAGGAGCTAGTGTTCTGGAAAATGATAACATCATGTGAAGATGCATTCAGTCAGTTTACTGATCCATGGTCGATCATTGGAATCCATGTGGCATCGCAGCCAACTCCTCAGGGACAGACCATGGCACTTGACTCCATGGACACTTATTCATATTTACTTGTCAGAGTTTGTCACTCACTCTTGCAAGAACATTGCCCGTCTCCTCCAATCATCTAGAAACCACCTAGAATAGATACAGCACAGCAGAAGGCCATTTGCATCCATACCAGCTCCCTGTAAGAGTTGGAGCTGGTCCCACTCTTGCCTATTCCTTTGAGCCCTGCAATTTTTTCCTTTTCAGATAATTATCCAACTCCTTTTCCAAGCTCACAATTGAATCTGTCTGCAGCATACTCACAGCATTGCATTGCAGATATTTGGCCACTTGCTCCACTTACAGAGAGAAGGTTTCTCTCAAGCCGTGTTGCTTCTTTTACGCACCACCTTAACTCAAGTGTCCTCATGTTCTCAAATCCACCACCAATGAGAATAATTTGTCCTTACTGATCTACATAGTCCAGATCCTCCAGAACTAATACTTCAGCACCACATCAGAAAACCTGTGAGTCCACTCTCATGCTGGTTGATCCATTTCCTGTGCTTTTGTTTCTATCAAAGTCTTCCAAAGACAGTCTGAAGAAACATCTGTGTGGAAACATGTGACCCATACCATTGAGTGAACATTAACTAGCTTTATTAAACATAACTGTTTCCAAGTCATGGTGCAAGAGGATGTTCTTGCAGACTCAGGCTCCAGTTCCATGTGATCTGACATCATTACGGTAAAGCTCCTTTTGCTCATACTTAGCGACTATTCTTAGAAAAAAAGGTACAATTCACACTTTACTCAACAATCAGTACGAGGGGTACAGCTCCCCTTGAAGAAAGGAAGGATGCCTTTGAGAGGTGCACGTTAATCTCACATATTGCTGACCCCCCTTTTGAACATGCAGCCAGACTGCAACACATTTCCTGCTGGGTTGTACGCTGAATTCATTTAGATGCACCGAAGCACAGTCATAACCTCCAGCGCATTAGACCTAGCACTGAACCAGTGGGATTATACTGGATAATTCTTTTCAGTTAACATATCCACAATAGACTGACTGGCTTCCTTCCTTTTGTGTGTTTCTTTGAGGAAGCAGCACAAATTTTGCAAGCTGCCTGCCTCAATGGGACTGTACCCTGTGCCTGAAAATGAGCCTTGACAACAATTATCTACTTATTGTTTAATGTTGGGTAGACTGTTACAGGATGGTACTTTAAAATAAAAATATCATAACACAATAGAACTAAAATTATTTGCAGTTTATCAGCTGCTTCATAGTTGTTCTACATCTTATGAAAAATGCATTGTATTTCACTTTACTTTCATCAGTAGTTTGCAATTCCTTATTCATAATAATCCAAATGAGTCACTACTCAACATGAGCTTTAATTCAATTATCTGGTTAGTCTGCCTTTCTTTCTTTAAAACCAAAATTCAAAGTATTACTGGTTTACCAATTTCGTGTTACATTCTATTTACCTCATGATGTAAAGGACGTATTTCTGCGATTAATATCTCAATGTGAACACTGGTGATACAAATGACCACTGAAAACAAAATTCTCACTCCATGGAAATTAATGGATACGTCACAATGTTTAAATGTGCTTCAGGGCTGCCTCCCAAATCCTGCGTTACAGCAGATGGAAGTTGTGAGAAAAAATAGGCTCTGACAAGAGTGGAGTGTGAGGGACAAGTTGCAGTGTTTGGAAAAATCATGTACAATTGATTAAAACTCAAACACATATTTTAAGCCAGTGAGCCCAACTGAAACTTAGCATTAAAAATGATAAATTTATTTACTGTTCCATTCCTGTCGAAACCACCATGATGACTATTTTCAAAACCACAAGTGACCAAGGTGTCAAAAGCAGCTGTCAGAAGCAGACTTACGCTTCATTAATATAAATTGGTGTTTCATCACAAGGTGAAGACATCAGTGCAATTTTAACCAAGTGAGTTAGAATTCTTCCCCAGCAGCAATCTTCTGGAATAAAGGCCTTATTGAGATTGAGATTGGCCTAATTGAGATTGGCTTCAGCAAACGTGACATTATTTAAGAGGATAACTTACAGATCATTAGAATCTGTTTTCCATGGTATTTTAATGAATGGCATAGCGGCAGTAACACTGGACTAATAATTTGGCAATGTGGATTTAAATCCCACTATGGTAGCTGATGAAATTTGAACTTAATCAACAAATCTGTAATGAAAAGCTAGTCCCAGTAATCATGATCTCAAAGCTTTCATCAGTTTTTGCAAAACCCATCTGTTTCATTGTTGTCCTTTGGGGAGGGAAACATGCCATCCTTACCTGGTCTGGCCTACACATGGTTTCAAATCGACAGCAATGTTGTTGACTATTAACTACCTTTTAAATTGGCCTGGAAAACATTTGGTAGAATGGCAGTTGGGGGTGGGAAACAAATGCTGGCCTTACCAGTGACATTTGCATCCCTTGAAAACAATAAAGAAAAAAATAAACAGAACTGTTGAGTTTGGAGTTTAATTCTTTCTGAATTTCTAATCCCTTACCTGCACTGCTCATCAGTTTTACCTTTGCTTTTCATTCCTTTGGATGGAAGGAAATTAACAGAAAGTGGTGCAGTAGTAGCAGGCTCACTAATCAGGACAATCTGCAGCCAGAGCTATTCAGTAACACGGGGATGAAAAGAGCTGCACAGAAGGGGAGTTATCTACTCATAAAACCAAGAGACCATTAGCTGGTAGCTTTAAGGAGGTACACTGCTTCAAAAGCTTCATTTCATTAAGCAGACTATCATGAATCTATGCAGCAGGATATGTTAGATCAAAGGGCTCATTTTCAATCTAAAGATAATTGCTTCAGCACAGTTCTAAAAGATGGCAGAAAATATGAAACCATTGTAGCTGGACAACAGCTTCCACCACATTAGGTGCATTCAAGAGTATTGGTCCGGTAGCTAGGACACAGAAAACAAGCAAACTATGCAGGAAATGTGGTCTGTATGTCCATTGCAAAGCTGTTCTGTGTTCAAAGATGTTTTCAAGTCACGCGATGCAAAAGGGCTTGTATATGCAGAGTGTCTAATTCCAGAAATATAATCGGAGGCTACTGAACAAAAAGTATTTGCAACATACTGTCAGCAACAACAGCAAGTGTGCCAATGATTTACTTAAACACAAGCACAGCAAGACTAACTGTGGTCAAGATTCAGGGTGGAAGAAGCTCCAACCAAAGGCAATAGAGTTTCCACATTGAGCATGTGACATATTGTGTGAATGAAATCAAAATTAGAAACTTTTGTCACTGATAACATCATATGCTTGAAGAAAGTTGGCAAACATACTCTCAAGACCAAAGGTGACATGGGAGCTAGTGCAAACATCCTGCTGGTCTGAGCACCTGCACCATTGGAAGTCAATAATATAACATACAGCGGCAAAACTGACTGAACATAATGTGACACTCATCCAGTGCATTTGTACATTGATGATGAAATGCAGCCAATAAAATTCTGCATGGGCATGAATGAATGAGAAATGGCAGGACTACCAATGGGCAGGGAACTCTAGAGTATGATCATTCATAAAATTGCCAACTTACCTATTACAGCTGAACAGCCCAAGAATAGTCGCATTGAATCAGTCCAGAACTTACAACAAAAAAAACCCAGAAAGATTTGATGCTGTTGGAAACTTCAAAGCTGATGTTGTATTGCACCTCAGAAGATGAAATTCTATCAATCTACCCTCCCAGAAAATGCAGTGGTAACAGACAAGACAAGTTTAAGAGTGAGCTGGATGAAAAGAAGAGCTAGATTATATGAAATGTATTGGCACAGCATTAGTACAGAGACTGGAGCTGTTTAATTACATATGTGCGAAAGACAGATTGCATGATCAGGCTATGCCTGGACTCAAGACATCTTAATTCGTTCCATAAGGAGGTGTCACTCAAAATCTCAATATGAGGAGAATTGAATTCAAAACTCACGGGAGCAAGATCCTTTCCCAGTCTGGATGCCTAGCATTGATATTGGTCAGTTCACTCAAGAAATCACTCCTCCCAGAACAGCATTTGGAAGATATAACTTCCAGGGACCACATCTCAATCTATCAGTCAGGATCTGTTCCAGCATTATATGGACAGAATGACAGAAAACATTCCTGGACGTGTATATTGCCAATGATATTGTAGTGATGGGTAAAACCAAAGAGCAGAACAAAGATCTATATGCACAGACAGTGGCAGCTCATTGTGAAGGACTCACCTTCAACATTAAGAAGTGCCAGGTAGGTCAGATCAACTATTCTGGCTTGATCTCGTCAGGCTGAGGGATCCATCCAGACTCTGGTGAGACGAAGGATGGTATGACTTATGCTTACTCCCCAAAGCAAAGAAGATCTGTAGAGTTGTCTCAGATTTTTAAAATTCCTAGTACTACACAGACCAAGCTTTTAAAATGCTTCATATATGTGGCAGGTGGACCACTGACACATGTTTGAATCAATCAAATAAATGTTGCCTGCAGAAATCTATATCCAGTAGTAATACGACCCAATGAAGATGAAGATACTGGAGGGTGAAGCATTTCAGGAAGGGCTCAGAAAGGGCTAAGAAAGAGCATCACACAAGATGGCACATCAATTGTGTTTAAATCCAAAGGTCTATTGCAAGCTCAATCCAACTATTCCAACATAGAATGTGGAACTCTCTGGCATTCAGTATCGCAAGATTCCAAATGTACTTCTTTAATCAGCAGTTCACTGTGGAAACCAAGCACAAACTATTGAAGGGAGCTAGCCAATTGAATACAAAATTGGCTTGAAGGTAGGAGACAGAGGGTTGTGGTGGAGGGATGTTTTTCAGATGGGAGGCCTGTCACCAGTGGTGTACCCCAAGGATCAGTGCTGAGTCCACTACTTTTCGCCATTTATATAAATGATTTGGATGTGGATATGGGAGGAATGGTTAGTAAGTTTGCAGGTGACACCAAAATAGGTGGTATAGTGGACAGTGAAGAAGACAACGGAGCCTTGGTCAGATGGGCCAATGGGCCAAGGAGTGGCAGATGGAGTTTAATTTAGATAAGTGTGAGGTGTATTTTGGTAAGGCAAACCAAGGCAGGACTTATACAGTAGATGGTAGAGTCCTGGGGAGTGTTGCCAAACAAAGAGACATAGGGCTGCAGGTGCATAGTTCCTTGAAAGTAGAGTCACAGGTAGACAGAGTGGTGAAGAAGGTGTTTGACACGCTTGCCTTCATTCGTCAAAACATTGAGTGTAGGAGTTGGGATGTCATCTTGCGGCTGTACAGGACATTGATGAGGCACTTTTGGAATACTATGTACAATTCTGGTCGTCCTTCTATAGGAAGGATATTCTTAAACTTGAGAGGGTGCAGAAAAGATTTACAAGGGTTAAAGGGTTCGAGTTATAGGGAGAGGCTGAATAGGGTGGGGCTTTTCTCCCTAGAGCATCAGAGATGGAGGGGTGACCTTATGGAGCTTTATAAAATCATGAGAGGCAATGAATAGGCTGATATCCAAGGTCTTTTTCCTCGGTTGGGGGAGTCAAAAACTAGAGGACATACGTTTAAGGTGAGAGGAGAAAGATTTAAAAAGGACTTTAGGGGTAACTTTTTCATGTAACGGGTGGTGTGTGTCTGGAACAAGCTGCCAGAAGAAGTGCTGGTCCAATTACAATATTTAAAAGGCAAGTGGATGAGTTTATGAATAGGAAGGGTTCAGATGGACAAAGGGGACTAAGTCAATTCGGGATGTCTGGTCAGCACAGCTGGGTTGGACCGCGGGGTCTGTTTCCATGCTGTTCGACTCTATGACTCTTTTGTAGATCAATACTTTGTCAACCAATGAAACAATATTCCGTGCACTTGCACGTAAATCTAGCCATTAGTTGATGGCAAAAACAATTGGTCCCAAGATACACACAGGTCAGAGAGTGCCTTGCATTTTTTAACTAAGCAAGTTCCATTTAGAATCTACTTGAGTCGTGTAGTGAGGGCATACCCTTTGGAAGGTGACAGCTTGGTGTACAGACATCAATCACAAGGTAGCATTTCCCTCAGCCCTCAAACTTCCTGTGTTATTCAACCATATGCATCAACCACTGTGCAGCTGGATCTTGTTCAAAGTAAAGCCTGGAGAACATTATTGGTTTCTATTATATCTCTGCTCTCCTTATTTATGCACTTTTTTTACCAGTTCTGTGAACAATGAATCTTTAGTTCACTCTCACAATCCGTCTTACATGCCAGAAAGAATCATCAAAACTCAGGCTCGGTGTCACATGTAGCACTGTACAACTGTAGTATGTAGCACCAATGTTTTATTCATTAAATTTTCTTGCTAGTGAACTTTCGAGAAAACAGCAAAAGGAAATTAACAAAATATTTATGCTTTCAAAACGAAATAAAACATTTCTTTCCCTCGCTTCTCCTGAATGATGCAGTTCACGTACCCCAAGTTTGCCAAGAGTCTGTTTTTCACATGCAAGGCTAGAGAGATGATTAAAGACCACTTAAGTGCATAAAGTATTACAATCCACACTTAATTCTGTCCACATCCGGACTTCCAGTACAAGAGTGATTGAATAACAAGCTGGAGTGGATGCTTTTTGTTTCCTTTCTTGGTCAGGACATTGAAACCACTTGAGTTCACTATCAAAACAACTGAATGCCGCTCCATTGACTGGGATCATTTAACTCAGCAAATTTACAGACCAGTTTCAAGATAACAACGAATGCAACACCAACATACCGCTTCACCTACTGGTGAGTTAGTTCTAAAGACGGACGATGTAATCGAGGTGCTGAAAACTTCCACAGCCTAACAACCCTCAGAGGTTTATTATTAGGTTAAACATTACTCCACAGTGTTCATTTTACCTAGAATTTCAGTTTCCCGAAACATCATTTTTTATATTTTATTTTATGAATAAAAAAATGCCAGCTCTGACGATCTATGGTTTTGCAGCAAATTAAAATATTTTAGCTGTGAATGATGCATAAATCGTTGCACAATACTTCAAACAGCTTGTACAACAGATTGTCTGCATCAACCTATTGACTAAAAGCTGCCTTCTTTATTCCCAGGGAAAACTATCGCTTGGCTCACTGTTGCATGCTGATTAAAGCCAAGTTGCTATCTTTTAAGTGAGAAATCTTTGGGTTGAAATTTTCAGGTTTTTCCATTTCTTTCGATTTATATAAGCATCGATGATAACAAGGACACAAAAGCTCGAGCAGTACATGAATAAGGATTGAAGGACAGACAAAGATTTGCTTACTGCTCCATCCATCCTGTTCCACTTAAAAATGATGTGTTATGATTCTAAATGCATTTACACCTCAACTATTAGTCATCTATTGGGAATGATCCAGATATCAAGATAAAAATAACCTGGTAAATTCCTCTCTCCACCGATATGTTATCAAAATGAGTCCAAGTGATGACCCTCACTTTGATTTAAATTATAATTTAAATTATAGGTTATTTACTTCTTGTAAGAGTTTGATCTCCAGCTCCAGTGAGAAATAACTGCAGTTCTCACTCAAAGGAATTCAATGTATCAGCGTTCGCTGCACCTTCTAGAAGCCTGTTATACAATGTGATTGTCTCAGGGAAACATTTCCGAACATCCAATGTAGTTCTGCCTTTAAATAGAGTCACAGAGATGTATAGCCACAGAAACTGACCCTTCCCTCCAATTTGTCCATGCTGGCCAGATTAGTACCAAATAATTTAAGTTTGTGACCGAAAGGGCCTCCTTGTTGGAAACCAGGCACAAACATCTCAGGGCATGGTCCAAGGCACCAGCCACCCATACACATGTCCATGAAGATTGTCACCTGACCAGCCTCTAAGAACCTAAGTGATATATCTCTGATCCACTTACAGGATGTTTCTACACTTCAATGCTGCATCCTAGGGCATAACAGAAACTAACACTGTAATGCTGCAGCCAGGACACTTTGTGCTAAGGGACATGCAGCCAGTTCATGGACTGGGCCATTTCTATCATCTACACCTGTTCTTCTGGCACTCATTCAGTCTGAGCCTTGCCATACTTTGCCTTGCAGTTTTGCACCTTGCACCTTAGCCAGAGATACCAGGCACACAGGGTGTTTCATTGTGCTGTTTAGCACAGACACACTGCCAGGAAGCTTGTCTTGGTTGTCAGCAGTCCTCGGTTAGATCAAGGGAGAAAGTTGTCAGTTGGGGCCCCCTTCACAGGAAGTCAAGGGCAGCTTCTGATACCAGTAATGGAGGTCTAGCTTGGACATGGTCAGTCAGTTGCTCAGGACACTCAGTCAGGATGCTCCCTTCATAAGGTCTAAGGAGCCAAATATTGGGCAAATTCTTACCAGCCTTGAATCGTTCTGCCCTATTGTGGGCAGTTTTCCTCCTGAAATGAGTTAGAAGAAGGTGTTAGAGAGAGAAAAATAGGTGGTACAGCTGTTATTGTTAGTGCTGGTGGGGAGGTGTCCTGTATAAGTGAGTAGGCAGCACAGAGGGCATGCAGGGGATGGGGTGGGTGAGCCTTAGTAGAAGGTGGGTACCACAGCAGAGAGAGAGGATGAGTGTGAGGCATCAGTGAGAAGATGGTGGTACTTACCGTGGCAGAGTGGAGAAGGTCTTTGACTCTCTTCCTAAAGTGCTGTACATACCTCCAGATGGCTGACACTGCACTAACTGGATGGCAACCTTAGACCAAGCTGGCATGGACTGGTGTTGTGGCCTCCACTGCTGGTCCTGGGGGTAGTGGACATCCTGCCTTTGCATCACCCTGAACACCAGGACCTCCAGGTCCTTACCGACAAAGTGTGAATCAGTATCCCCTTCATTCCCATGGCTGGGGCAAATGTCAGCAATTATGCAGGGCAGCTCTGGACTAAGAGTATTTATCGGAGCATGCAATGGCCTAATAAAGGTAGCGTCGGCACCAGAGATGCTGGTTCATTCCAGGATATCCTGGTAGTGGCGACCCTAGAAGGGTCTAGGACTGAAACGTCAACCTTCCTGCTCCTCTGATGCTGCTTGGCTGCTGTGTTCATCCAGCTCTACACCTTGTTATCTCAGAAAATCAAAGGAATGCCTTGACAAAGAAATGTGGCCAGGCATGATATTGACCATGAATGATTAAAATACAAGTCTAGTGGTTAGTTTAAGGTGGAGGTATAATATGGGAGCATCATTTCTGAAGATCAACTATTAATAAAACTACTTGTCCAAAGATTCAAAAGCAAAGAGATCAGAGTTTTGTTTGAGGGA